ACAAATCACAGTTCAATCCCCGGTTCCACCAAAAAAAACACCTGGGGCCGGGGAGATGGCTCAGTGGAATAAGCGCTTTCCTGGCAAGCGCAAGGTCCTGAGTTCAATCCTCAAAAAAAAAAAAAAAAAAAAAAAAATCACGGGACTCCATCTGCCCTCTGAAAGGCAACAGGTTGGCAGCTGTTCTCAAGGCGTGGGGCAGGCTTCTGGGGGTTAGGCAGGCCCTGATCCGCCTCTCCGCACCAGAGGGCGTGTTGGGCTGTTCCAGTTTCCTCTCTACTAAGGAGACATTTAGCTGCTGAGATTCCCCATTCGTGCCTTTCCCAGCTGAGGGTGGTGGCCGTGGACACCTGGCTCAATAACACCGTAAGTGTGAGAAGAAAAGGCTTTGCTTCTGATCCCATTACTGACCTACTCCTGTCACTTGCCTTTTTTTTTTTTTTTGAATGTTAGAGTGAGGAACTCCAAAATTTCCCAAGCTTTCTCTCCTATCCAGCATCTAAGAGACTTTCAGTTGAGCTGTTATAACCTGTGCAATTGATTCCAATTTTTGTAACTCTGTATGTTTCCACTGCAACTTTATTAACAAGGACTATTTGGTATAAGCTGACAACTTAAACTCCATCTTGTTTTTTTTTTTTTTTTTCAGAACGGGGGATTGAACTCAGGCCCTTGAGCTTGCCAGGGAAGCACTTATTCTACTGAGCCATCTCCCGGGCCCAAAACTCCATCTTGTAACAAGCTTTGTAACTTCCCTTTTGTAAAACCTTGATTTGTTTTGTAAACCCCCCAACCATTCCTTCCCTGAAGAATGTGACTGTTTGTACAAATAAGAAAGTGTTTCTCAGCATTCCAAGAGAAGATAAGAAATGTTCCTCAACATTCTGCAAAATGAGTTAAACTGTCCTTCCTACGGGAACAAACAGAATGCCTGAAAATCGGTGAAACTCATCAGATGTCCTTCCGACTACCGGAACAAAAACAACGCCTAAGCCAAATAAGGACATATTCCTGTAGGGTTTGCAAAAGGTGACCTCATCTATGGGAACAAAAAGTTAACCTTCGGTCATGACTAACTCAAAATAAACTTTGTAAAATCCCCCCACACACACTCTTGTGGTTTTTCCCTTTAAAAACTGTGCCTCTCCTGGACTAAGCGCGCACATACTTAGAGACAAGAGTACCTGCCGCCGCTGAGCTCAGCTAAATAAAGCGCTTTTAAGTTGAGTCCGGTTTTTGATTTTTGGGTTACAACAGAGCCTGTAGAGAGTGCTAAGGGTAATGTGATGCAGCAGCAGACGAGGCAGCGCCTCGGGTGAGGGACACAGACTTGTCTCACACGCACGCACGCTCCAGTTCACATGTTCTGGGCACAGTCTCCCGAGCTTGGGGAACTGCACCCCAGACCTGTGCGAAGAGCCAACTTTTGGGTGAGACCAGAGGAGCGATTTCCTTAGGGAAAGGTCTACAGGGTGTTCAGGGTCTCAGTCCTAGATCAGACTCGTAGTGATCCACAGTGATCTGCCTGTCTACAGCCTCCCAAGAGCTGAAATTACAAGCACTCACCACCATGCCAGTCTCAACTGCTGTCTCAGCACACCCCGGGGCTGGGGCTGGTATGGCGTGGGCTGGCTGGCAGGCCTGGGGATCGAACCTCCGGTCCCTGCGCCCGCTTGCAGGCGCTTTAATCCACTGAGCTATTTGGCAGGCCCTCAGAGAGGCTATTTCCTAAGAACAATATTTAGGGGCCAAAACACAGCTTGGAGAATTTCTAGTCTCCGGCTCTTTGCCCCCCTGCTCAGTCTGGTTCTCATCACTGATGCGGGCAGGGGAGGAAAACTCCCACTAATTAACTGTGGCTGCTGAACAACAGGCGTAAGCTTTAACCTGTGGGCTTCGTAAGTGTGTCGGGATATAGAGACATAGGAATTTTAGAATGAAATTTGAGTAAAACTTGTCTTGTCACTAAGGAAGATTGCTAGGTGATTAGGTAGACCTCACAAATGCCTTAGAGACTTCTTCTTCGCCCTAGGGCCAGGGCAGGACTTCTTCTTTGCTCTAGGGCCAGGGCAGGATCTTCCTGAGCCATTACTGAAGTCCACCTAGCTCTAGAAGGGATGTTCTTGCAGACTACAAAGTGCTCCAACCACTTCCGATTTGCCTTTTAATTCAGTCTCTTTCAAAGAGCAGGAAAGCAATTGTTCAGGTCTCATGATTATTGATTGATTTTTGTGTGTGTGTGTGGAACTGGGGACTGAACTCAGGCCGTTGCGCTTGCTAAGGAAGCGCTTGTTCCACTGAGCCATCTCCTCGGCTCCTGCTGGTTGAATT